CAGCTTCGGCCTCCAAGGGCCCTGCGTCCTTGCCACCCGCCCTCAATACGCGTTCTGAGCGTCGGTTTTTGCAGGGGTTGGCGCCCTCGTCTCCTCGGGGCCCCGACGCTCCTCGACAGCCGAAGAGACCGACGGCCCCGGAGGCTCCTGCCGAGGGAGCCCCAGCCAGGGGCCCGAGGCAGCCACGAGAGGCGGGGCCCGAGGCCCCGGCCCAGCGCAACCCCTCGACCTCCCATGGGGGGGAGCCGGGGCCGGCTGAGGGCGCCAAGGAGCTCTGCTCCGGAGGGCCCCAGAGGGTCCAGACACGGCCGCAGAGCGCTCAATGACGACCCAAGGCGGCTTCAAGACGGCGCCGGAGGGCCCCAGAGGCTCGGCTTCCCAAGAGGTCCCCAATACTCCCAAGTGCCCCCTTCCCAGAGAGCTCGGGACGCCCCCCAAAAACTCCAAGAGGGCCCTGAGAGGAACCCCTGCACCGACATTTCGAGCGCCCTGGGGTGCGCCTCTCGTCCAAAACCTACGCAAACGTCCATGAAACGCGACGACGGCGACCACGACGACGACGATGACGAGGACGACGACGAAGACGACGACGACGACGAGGACGACGACGAGGACGACGACAAGGACGACGATGACGACGACATCTACGACGAGGCCGAGGACGACGGGGACGACGACGACAAGGACGGCGAGGACGACGACGACTACGACTACGACGACGACGACGACGACGACGATGAAGGCGGCGGCGGCGGCCACGATGGCGGCGGCCACGTCGGCGACGACGACAGCGACGGCGACGCCGACGGCCACGGCGACAGTGACGGGGACGGCGACGACGACGACGACGAAGACGACGAAAGGACGACGAGGACGACGACGAGGACGACGGCGACTACAGTTACGACGAGGACGAGGACGAGGACGATGACGACGAGGGCGACGACGACGACGACGACGACCCCGGCGACGACAACGACGACGACGACCACGACGGCGACGACGACCACGACAACGACGGTGGGGACGACGACGAGGACGACGACGTTGACGAGGACGACGACGACGACAGCGGCGGCGGCGACGAGGACGACGAGGCCGACGAGGTGAACGACCACGCCGACGATGACGACAACGACGACGACAACGACGACGACGATGACGACGTCGACGACGACGTCGACGACGAGGAGGAGGACGACGACACCGACCACTTCTTCCGACGGTCTCCAAAGGTATGACGACGACGATGCCGACGCCGACGACGACGACGACCTCCATGGCCTCCAAAGTCACCATCGTCGTGGTCTTCGACGTTTTGGGACGTGTTTGTACGTTTGGGACGAAGGCAGCTCTTCTACGGCCTGTGTTGGCTTCCAGAGGCGTCCAGAAGCTTGCGACGGCGACGGTGGCTGCACCGCGATGGCGGCGTCCATTTAGTGCTTTCCCCTTCTCGAGTGTATTCCTCCTTCTTCCCCAGTCTCGTGATACCGCCTTCGTCCTCGACCAGAACCTGAGCGCGCGCGTGGCGCGCGCGATGGCTCTAGCAGGTGTGTAGTTGGCGCCGTCCTGTTTTGGGGGGGGAGGTGGAGCCGCATCCGGCTGGTCAAGCCTCTTGGAGCGGTCTGTGGCCGCGTTGGAGCCGCAGCAGGTGCGCGCTTCCCGCCGCTGCACGGTGATCCGGTACCCGCCCTTCCCTGTCCCCTGGTGTCGCCCGCTCCCCGAAGGTCGAAGCTCGGGGCTTGGGGACCCAGGTTTCTGGACGCATCTGGCCTCTTCGTGGCTTCTCGATACTCTCTGGGGTAGCGTATTTAGAGAAAGAACTATGCACATACACCGATTCTGGCCAGGCCCATCCTGAGCCCAGGATCGGTGCATACGCCCTCCTACCTTGGCCAGGAAGGCATATGCACCGACCATGGGTCAAGGATGGGCCTTGCCAGGATCGGTGCACGTGCATAAATCTCTTCGCCCGAGTATTACCACAGAGTAGAGACATACGTGCAGACATCCTGCCGCAAGGCATCTAAGGGCATCTTGTTCGGTCGCTCTTGGACTTCGCGGGGAGCCCACAAACTCCGCTGGGTGCCCAGGGTCGTTGGGGAATGCGAGATCTTCCTAGGGCACCTGCTGGCAGGCTGGCTTTTCTTACTTGGAAGTCCTACTGCATCAAAGGCTTTACTGCCGCCCCAAGTAAGCAAAGGGCGTCGGATCGGCCCATCCCACCACCGTGCCTGGGTTGTGCGTCAGAGCCTCCGGAGTGTTCGTTGGGATCTCGTGGTCGGTTTCTCGGGGGGGCCTTTTCGAAGCAGGTTCGGGGCCTCTTGGAAACTGTTTTGTCGCATCGGGGGGCGTGTTTTCACCCTCTTGGGAACCTCTTGGGGCCTTTCGGGGGCCTGTTGTGAGCCTCTTGGAGGCTTTTGGGGATTTCTTGGGGCGTCCTGGAAGCCCCCTGGGGACCTCTTGGGAGCCTCTTGGAGCGTCCTGGAGGCGTCTTCGCCCCGAAAACCCGATATTTGAGTTCAGGTTTCCCGTCTTGGCCCTCTCTTAGAGCCGTCATGGGGGCCTCTTGGGCCGTCTTCTAAGCCTCTGGGGCCCTCCTGGGCCGTCTTCGGGCCGTCTTGGGAGCCTCTGGGTCCGTTTTGAGAGCTGTGCGGCTTTCTCAATGACACGCGCCCTACCAATGCAGGTCACTCGCATGGTAGCATGTTGGACTCACCTGATGGCTTCCTTGGTTTTGAGAGTCCAGGATGAAGCTTTGATATTTAAGGTTCCATGCTTGAAGTCCGAGGTGCGACATGCAAATCCAATGATGTTCTTTGTACATTTTCGACGTCCAGTGGCCATGGCCAGAGAACAAGCCCGTCAAAGTAACGCCCGATCAGTGAGCTGGTCACGATGACCTTCCGAGGGACCCTTCCCCCCTCCCTCCCTCGCAAATCATTGCCACCACTACTTTACGGTCGGAGTTCGTGGCTCCGTCTGGTTTGCTTGGAATTCCTAGTGCATCATGAGCTGCACTGCCGCCCCACCTTTCGAGTGCAGGCGACATCACACAAGGCGTGTCTCGACGGGCCGGCGCCCCGCCGCTCCCGGCCTCCTGGCCTCCCTGGCCCCGGGCGGTCACGCCGCGGCACCCCCTGCCTCTGCCAGCCACCTGGCCGCTGCTCCATCCGCGTGCAAGAGGTTCCGAGAGCCTCGTCCAACAAAAAAGTGCAAAGCTGTTCAAAATCGAAGCGCTCGATAGTTCGGCCGCTGCTCCTGCCCCCGCACGGCTCCGAGCTGTGCCCACTCCTCGGCGCGCCGCGGCGCGCCGCTCGTGGTGCCCCACTGCGCCCGCCCGCCAGCTCCGGCCGCTGGCTGCCGCCCTCCCGCCACCCTTGCCGCCATGGTTCGCCACGGCCGCCCACCGCGCTCCGGCCCTGCGCGCCTGGCTGCTGCTGCCCCCCCAGCTGCTCATCGTCGCACTTATCGACGTCTGAGCGTCCCTTCTTCCTCGCGGCCGTCCCCCCCCCCTCCTTGCTCGCCAGCCAATTCGTTAGTTAGTGCCCCTATCTAGCGTCGCGCTGGAGCGGAGCTCGCCGCCTCGCCGCTGAAGGAACAAGTGTTTTGACAGGCCGGTCTCGCGATCTTACCCCCCAAGGACGCCCGCACTTTCCGAGGGCACGGTGTGGTGGATTGCCAACACGCGCCCCGAGATGGTCCAAATGTTGGCCAACATGGTCCCAGCAAGCTCCAAGCACGCCCCCTAGTGAGGCGCCCCTAAAAAGGCATCGCCTTCGAGGATCGAAGGAGTTGACATCTTCTCTTCGGCGGAAGTCAGCGGAAGACCGGCGGAAGCCAGAGGAAGCAAATCGGGAGTGGTTCCACCCCTCGGCGGACGGCGGTGGAAATAAAACAGTTGGGGCTCCGCAGGCGGAAGCCAGCGAAAGTAATGCATCCGGGATTTTCAGGCTGGCGGAAGTAATAGTTGTCCCTGTAACAAATATCATTTTTTGTGACGTTCCAGAGTCGCCCACGTGTTCTCAATATGACCCAGACGCACAGAATGGCTCGCATGCGGCCCCGCGATGCCCAGAGGTCGAACTAATGTTGCCAACAAGAAACCAATATGTTCCTGATGCGTCGAACGGGCTCCAGAAAGATGCTTGCCTGCAAACAATGGAGCGCTGCTACATCGCAAGCGCCTTGCTTGCGTGCAATTTCCAGGGGGTCGCGTATATTGACGGCTCCATTCCATCGCTATGCTAGTAGTCTAGATCTACAAGGGGCAGGGGAACATAATATGGTAAAAAGGTGCTGAGTCTGTATGCTCATATTTCCTCTTACAGCTTCCGTCCCCGTTCGAATATCTTGGCC